AAACTCAAGACCGAGTACGGCGATCAGGTCGAAGTGACGGCGTGTCGCGCATGTCTGCAGAATCCCACTAGCCCTTTACGGAAACTTAAAAGTCGGCCGAACGAGCGACAGGAGGACGGCGAAACGTGCATTAGCCCTTGATGAAGTACCTGAAAACCTGAACACTTCCTGGAACAACATCAGGTACATGAACCACCATGAAACAAACCAAGGGACCACAGCAACCAATCAACAGTTAACAGCAGGTACGTTTACACCTCCCTGGTGTGCGGTCTTCGTTGGCCAGGACGCGCGCCAGGGAGTCCTGGCCACATACAAACGCCCCCTGCTGAAAATTAAAGATGGAGAACGGAGCCCAAAAGTAAACAATCCAAACGGATCCCTGTGACTACAATGGGCACACACACATTCCTTTTTGTTTAGTTTGAGCACACACAGCTGATCGCCAGGTGCGGCTGCATGAAAAGATGAGAAAGCAGGACTGCTCAATACTGTAAATGTGACAAATGTTTGGTGCGAGGTCCGGAGCCGGCAGTTTTCTAGTGTTTGTGATTTGTTTGATTTGCTGGAGAAAATATGCAGAGCACCTTCTTTCTGTCAGGACTGCCACCTAAGACAAATATCATTTTTTAGGTTTGGTTTGGTGCAAAAATACAGACACCTGTTGCATCCCCAATCCAAGAAGGTGCACATATAATACATATTATAAAATGTAAACGGTACTCTTTTTTTGCCAACGTTGCGCCTCAGGAATTAGACGACGAAGCTGCTACTGCAACGCCTACCAGCTCTCCTTCTAAGGTGAACAAACTGTTCGGGTCAAGTGTTGATGTGCTTTGAATGGCGTCTTTTCAGGGTTTTGATGCAGTTTTTGAAGAGGCGCGGGACCTCAGAGTAAAAACAAAACGCAGTTCTGAAGAATCAACTGACAGTTTTCCGTAGCCCTTTTTGCTTTTCTTTTTCTGAATTATTGGTATGTTACATTCACATTCTAAAGAATGTGCGACAGTGTGCGTGATTTCTAGCAGGTTTCAAGGCCATGGTTGTATCCACAGTCTGTGCCACTGTCTGGCCAAGAGATTCTCAACCCAAGAGTTTGATTACTACTTCGTAGAGAAAGAACTTTTAGAGTCTCTTTGTCGTTTTCGAAGTCTTGTGAGCAGAAAGTATTGCCAGTCGTACTTTGGAGACGAGCGTCCGCAGAGCTGGAACATCTCCGACCCTTGGGTTGACACACTTGAGAAGGTTGCTCCGTGGAGCTTGTCTTCAGGCAGTTCGCGGTGAGCATTAGCACTTTAAGGT